GAAGTTGACCACGCCGCCGCCGCAAAGCCTGTCGGCGTAAACCTCTACTCCATATGAATACGATGCCCTCATCATACTCATACCATCCCCAACAAATTTGATCCTCAGCTCAACGGAGTTTGATCCGCAATATTCATTGCTTGAGTGGAATCATGTGAATTGTATGTATGTATTTTGCTGATCTATTATTCATATGTACATATGTACATACGTATATATGTACTTATACAATATTTATATATGTATTTATAAAGAAAGGATTTTTAGAGCACTTTCTTTATTTGAGCGCATAACCAGAGGCTGAAGGATAACTTCTAAATACTATTATAAATATGTATGTAAACATAAAATATTTACTGATTGCTCGGGGGATTCGCACAAACGGTAACAATGAAACAATAATATTAAGAGATCCACAAAATTAGTATGCATGGTCATAAACCCAGTAACGTACATACTAGAGTCCAGCGCAAGTGTATTTGCCGCATTTCGTTCAATAAGTACTCCTTGCATTGTACTCTACTCCCAACGCATTGTTACTCTTTTTCCGCATACATACCCTACTTGGCGTTGAGAGAGTAAATACTTGACGTACTTGCTATTACTCCACCAAACTAGGACTCTACTTTCTCTCATCGCGTACGAGTGATATTTGCTGCTGCCAAGGCACATTAAACAGGTAGTATCAGTAGAGCAAAAACAACATTTGCGTGTATTTTGTTGTTGCTTCTGGTATCGAAAGTGTCAAAAACTGTTCTGAATTTTTTCTTCTAAATCAAAGCGTGCCATGTGAAATACAAAAAATAAAAAAAATAAAAAATTGAAATTGGAAAAAATAAAAATTGATGCAACTTTCTTTCCTAGTAAATTTGTTTGCTTCTCGAAGCATTGATCCATCCTTTACAAGGGCCAGTAATCAGCGGTTGTGCTGCTGAGTTGGGCGAACGTTCCAAAAGCTGCTATTCAATCGCTTGTTTTGTATGGAAAAAGATTTCACATGCAAATGGATTTTAACAATTCAGAATTTTTGTGAGAAAAAATTAAAAATATTTGACATTTTCTAGACCAAATAATTTGAAAATAAATCAAATCAGCTGCTCTACTGATACTACCTGTTCAATGTACCTTGGCTGCTGCCAAAAGGGAGTAGCAAATCTACTCTCTGTATACTTGTAGTACGGTAAGTACTTGCGTATTAAATTTCAATTCTGGTTGTTAGCCTACTAGTTGATATCGTTTGCGGCGCTGGTCAGTGAAATTAAAAGAGTAAAAATAGAATATGGAAATTGACGATGTAAGGAAATGTTTACGGCCTTATTTATAAAAAAATAACGTAGATTTAGACATATGTTTAATGTGGCATTTTCAGAAAACCTTTGTATTCAAGCAGCTTTTTAAATCTATGTATGTACTTAAATTTTTATGAAAGTATTATTTCTCGTTTCTAATTTTCTAT